TCCTGAAGCAAAGTTCTTAACCTGAAGCACTATTTCTGGGTTAGCAGTCTGTAACCTGAAGCGTATGTAACCTGAGGTACCACTGTATTCAACAACAAAAACAGCGGCAATTTGTTGTTGACAAAGAACAACTGGACATATAAAAAGCCCCATTACCTTCAGCAGCCTCATCAAACCTAAATCCGGCCCTGCTGACTGGTGAAGTGAGCTTCATGACTTGAGTGGGTTCTAGTCTAACGTTCTACACCACACTGACAACAAACAACTCCCTTTCTCTCTGGCATTGCATCACCTGACACGGAACAAGAAAGAAACCAAAAGCTTTCACGAGGGGTATGGAGGCAGAAACCATTTTGGTCCAGCTGAGGCAAATCATCATACGCAAGCATCGCAGTATATCATGTGGGAATTTCATAGCTTCTAGGGTTCCCTGCTGTGGCCCATTCCCTTCTCATAAGAAGACCCCTGCTGGATCAGGCCAATGGCCCACCTAGTACAGCATCCTGTTTTCACCGTGGGCAGCTCTCTGTGGGAAGCCTAAAAGCAAAAGCTCACTTGAGATTTCCAGCAACTGGTACTCAGAGGCGTCCTGCCTCCAACAATGGAGGGAGGGCATAGACATTGTGGCTAGCTCAGTTGGTAGAGCAGGAGACTCTTCATCTCAGGGTCATGGGTCTGAGCCCCAGATTGGGCAAAAGGGTCCTGCATTGCAGGGGGTTGGACTAGATGACCCTTGTGGTCCCTTCCAACTCTACAGTTCTATGATTCCGTGCTCCATGAAATTGGTCTGATCTTTTAAAGCCATCCAAGTCAGCGGCCAACACTACTTCCGGAGTTTATGTCTCATGTGGAGAAGTCCTTTCTTCTGTGTGTCCCGAATCTTCCAATATACTTCTTGCAGTAGCCTTGCTCCCAGATCCTTCCACCTCACAACCTACCAGAGCCCCCCAACTCCTCTCCCATAAAACTGGATCATTCCTATCCAAAGAAAAGCTGAATGGACAGCCTAGGTGACATGGGGAAGAACTGCCCCCCTCTGGGAAAGAACAGGGGTTGTTCTCACATCCCCAGGTTGGTTAAAGGTTAAAAAAAAAGGTAAAAGACCCCTGGACGGTTAAGTCCCATCAAAGGCGACCATGGGGTTGTGGTGCTCATCTCGCTTTCAGGCAGAGGGAACCAGCACTTGTCCACAGTTTTCTGGGTCATGTCTAAACTGCTTCTGGTGCAACGGAAAACCGTGACGGAAACCAGAGCGCATGGAAATGCCGTTTACCTTCCTGCCACAGCGGTACCTATTTATCTACTTGCACTGGTGTGCTTCCGAACTGCTAGGCTGGCAGGAGCTAGGACAGAGCAACGGGAGCTCACCCCATCGCGCGGATTCGAACCGCCAACCTTCTGATTGGCAAGCCCAAGAGGCTCAGTGGTTTAGACCACAGCACCAGCCCGCCCCCACCCCCCTCCAGAGCTAGTGGCTCACCTCTCAGCAACAGCAGCAGCACAATCTGGGAACAGCAGAAACTCAGCATGGTAATCCTGCTCCGAGGTCAACGAGGGAAGGAGAGAGCGCTGGGCTTGGTTGCTGAAGCACCCTTGGCACAAAACCCAGAGCAGCCTCTTGGTGTCACTGAGTACCAAAAAGGCTGCCAAGTAGCTAAATCCAAGCTGTTGGGTGCTGCCGTCCACCACCCGCCTACAGCCACCCAGTGAAGCCAGCTCAGCTGCCTACTTTTCACCACTGGGAGAGCAAGGCTCCCTAGCTCTTTCCATCTCCACCACTGTCTCTCTGGTTGGGGAGCAAGGGCTAGTGAGCTCTTAGTTCATGAAACATGTGCACACCTACCTGTTTGCATGCATAGATGTGTGCCTGTTGTAGGATTACCATAGGCTACGGAGGATGGGGCTCCTATTTCTTTAAAGTCATGTGGAACAGAGAATTTCAGTTGGCGTAGTTCATTATTCAGCAGAGAGGGGAAAGCTGTTCTGCACGCCCACGGAAATTCTTCCTTTAACAAAGCTACACATTTGTTCCTGGGCTCCATTCAAGTTGCTGAGACTGACCTTTGAATGGTTTGCGATATGGACACTCAAAGGACCAATCCTTCCTGGAACCCTATGCCCAGGACCCAAATTTCAAAGTGATGGTTTGGAGGCACCCCCAATAAGCACAGGAAGGACTTCTCCACCAAATGTTGCAACTCCCCACCCCTGGAAGAGGGTCTGCCCCAAGCTAGTCGATCCCCTTTTCTCTAGAAGAACAGAAAATCACCACTTAAGTACAGTACAGAATTTCAGTACTAATATTGGCTTATTGCAGGGGGCGAAGGTTGTCCCCATATTCAGCCATCAGGTTTTATTGGTATTACCTGTGTTCTTTCTCTGGATGCTTTCTCCTATACAGCTAACCAACATGGTGCCCTTGTGACAATGTTGGACTACAACTCCCATCAACCCAAGCCAGCATTGCCAATGGTCAGAGATGATAGGAGTTGTAGTCCATAAAACATTTGGAAGGCACATTGGCTACCTTGTTTTGATTTGTGTTTGTGCCTTTAAAACTCTGGTTCCTCCTTACATTTCCAGACATTTTATTTTTCAAATCTAGCTCAGTCGCTTCTCATCAGTTGAGCAAAACAAGGTAAGGAAGAAGGAAATACACAGATTTGTCCCCCAGTAGAAGCTCAGTCTTCGAGGGTCAGCATTCAGACCTTCCAAGCTTTCTCTGAGGACAGGCCAACTTGCACGCCAAAGCAAGATGGCCACAGTGAAACACATTGGGAGAAGGTAGGGTGGGTCACAAAAGGACATTGGTTAAGGCCAGGAGAAGGAGTGGAATCAAGAGGGTAGCCAAACTGGTATGGACATCAGTGGCTGCCAATTTCTCATGTGTGGTGTCTTCAATCCAGTCCATGAAGGAGGTGACTAGGGTGTAGATGCCGGGTTGAGAGCTCTCCACACAACCAAATGTTATGCTAACTCCCGTCAGGAACCAGATATCATTCTGCTGACAGACTAGAGGTCCTCCTGAGTCGCCCTGCCAAGAAAAGGAGACAGGGTCTCCATTACTCTCTTGAGAAGAGGCACCAAAATGCACAGAGGATTTGATAACCTGAAACAAATTACATGAATGTGTTTATTTATCACACTGGTGTCCATTCCTGTTTCTCGTTTTCCAAGTTTGAAGTTCAGTTCTCCACATTTCCACATCAGCTTGCAATTGTTTTTAATAAAAAAAAGTCCTCATGAAATTTAATCAGCGTTTGAGAGCAAATTTCTCCTGATATGAATATTTTTGTACACCATTTTGCCTAATATGCACATTTTTTGCAAAGCAATTGCCTCTGATTTTACATGTTATTTTGACTAACTTATGTATTAACGCGCACACTTTGCTTTGGCACATGCATTTTTGTACATATTACTTGACTGGGGAACTACACTGCCAAAAAAAGCCCCCCCAAAACATATTTCAAAGAATGGCTGTGTTTGTTTTGCAAAGTGCAAATAAGGTAGCTTTGCCTTAAATGCAAACCAAATAAAAAAAATTTCCCTTCTCTATCCTAACAAACTGGCATTATATTATGTGACATATTGCTGCTATTCTTTGAGATAATATAAGATCAACACCACTGCCTGTATTTCTGGACTCTCTTGGAGTGTGGTGGGATGGCACTGTCATGACACATACCCCAAAATTTACCACTACACCACTGTCTATATTTTCCAGGGCTGGACACTGCTACTGAAAACAAGTTTTGGTTCGGCTGCGATGACCACAAACTCACAATATTTCTGCCATCGTAGCCACACAGGCTGTCCCCATCCCTGCAATATCCTACATCATTGCTATAATACTCTGGTTCATGATTCTTACAAAGCAGGCATGCTTCCCAACTTCTGAATACCCAGCACAGATCATGTCATCATAGATGAACCTGTAGCCCTTGGGGATGGTCTTGTCACTACTTATGTTGTGATAGACTCCGTTGCAGTCTTCAGCTTCTATGATCAGCACTTCCACCTTCTGTAGGGTCTGAGTGACTAGGGAGGCTTGGGCAAAAGAAAGGAAGCATAAGGCACAGCCTCAAATTTCACCAGACAACATTCATTACAGCCTTCCTGGTTTTTAAGAGCCAACCAGCACATAGTTTGCTGGTTTGGAACACAAAGTTGCCCAGCTTGTAAAGGATGGGCATGTTCTGAATCAGGCTTCATTCCCCACAAAAAAATTCTGCAGCTCATTGATACAGACCACACTAGCTCTTTCATCAAATCACAACAAAGTGATTAACAGCGATACCTGCATTGCAAGGGGATGGACTAGGACTCTTTGGGTCCCTTCCAACTCTACTATTTTATGGTTCTATTGGGAACCAACTTGGTAGTCAATAGCACCTCCACCAGACTGAAAGGTCAGCTCACTAGCTGTGCAACTACGCCCCTGAGAAGTGAGGGAAGGGCCAGAAGAGGAGGTGGTCTGTATCCACCTGCATCCTTTGGGTCATGCTCTCTGCCAAGGCCAGGTGGAACTTAGACTGGCTTCAGGGTGAGGTTCAAGCTGGGCACCAGGCAGCATCAAAGCTGAATGCAGGGACCCAGGCTATGCTCCACAACCACAAAGCTGCTATGCTGATTCAGCAGGGAGCAAGCTGAGTCTCAGCCCTCTAGATTAGCAGCACAGCTGAGTCTTCATGGTGAACCCCACACATCCTGGAAGATGCTACCTTGCTGAAAGGAGGCCAGCTCTCTCCACTAGCCTCTTGCTGTGATGGGGCTGGGCGAGTCTCTGGTCACGCTGGGCCCTCCATAGAGTCTTCCCAGTCCAAAGATGGCAGTGCCACCTCCTTTGGCTGGGGTCATGCTGGCCCTACAAGTTCCTCTGGTAGAACTGCTTCTGGGGTGCACTTGAAGGGGACACTGAAACCTGGTCCCTGACCATGCTTTCCCCTTTGTGATCATTGTTATGGGGCGCTCCTGCCACCTTCCCAACTTCTTATCAACACAGATTCCTGTCTTCCTAGTCAATATGATTCCCAGCCTCCCGCCTAAACCCTTCTTCTCCCCTAAAGCCACAAAGCAGTGCCACCATCTCCAATAAACAGCATGACTTAGCGAGACCCCAAGCTTGTTCTTACCTCCTTTAAAGGGGACGCCCCAGCCAGCAATCCAGCACATCATCCCTCCGTAGAAGACAAAAGGTTGAAAAGTATTTGGGAGGCAGACAGGCATAATCATTTTGGAGAAACGCACTGCATTTGCCAGCTGCACCAGAGCAATATCGGCACTAAGGCCAACTCCAGCATAAAACGGGTGTATTATGATCTTGTTGACATTGGATGAGAACATGGCAGCTGAGGGTGCAGTGAGCTCATATTCCCCCACGTTTACTCTGTACTCACGTACATTCAGTGGCCTGTGGGAGACAAAGAGCAATCAGTGACTTGCGCAGTGGGAAGGCTCGTGTTCAAATCCTTACTCAGCTCTGAAGTTCTCTAGGAATCCTTTGGAAAGGAGCCCACTCTGTCTTCAAGGGGTTGTTGGGAGGCTAATCATCAAGTAGTTTCCTCAGAAGAAAACCCATCCCCCCCCCCACACCCACGTAGGATTTACTTCCATAGAAACAGGTTTAGATATTCAGAGAAAAATGGATGAAGTACCCAAGCACTGTTCCTGGCTTCTGACACATGCTCTAAACCATTCTAATACACCAAATAAGGATTTAAATCAAGCAGACACTGTGCACTCTCCTTCCTCGGAGGTTTTTAAGCAGAGGTTGGATGGCCATCTGCCATGGATGTTTTAGCTGAGATTCCTACATTGCCGGGGGTTGGACCAGATGATCCTGAGTGTCCCTTCCAACTCTACAATTCTATGAATCAGTTGCCAGCATAATAGTGTTAATTCTGCATTTGACATGATGAACTCTTAACTATGAGTAACTATTATAACTATTATTAATGTTGCATTTTATTAAAGTGAATTAATATTACACTTTAGAGAGTCACATTTCAAGTTGTTAACTCTAAACATAGTTTCCAAATTTTGCCATTTTTGGTATCAGCAACATGGATTTCTTGCACTGAAGAATTTCAGTGGTGATGCTGGATCACATGGTGTTGATGATTTGTAATCAGGCCTTCATCCCAAAGGAGCTCAGGGTGGCAAATAGCAAAATGTTAAAACAGTGCAAATTGAAAATCAAGAAAAAGCATTTAAACACAATTTAAAACCGTCTGAAAGAATTTACAGCCTCTAAGAATCATTTAAAAGCAATTACATACCCTCATCAAATTCAGGGTTGCCATGTCTTGTACCTCTCGGCCATCAAATGCCTGAGTCAACAGGAATGTTAATAAATTTCAAGTGAAAACCAATACAGAGGGAAACAGGAGCATCTCACCAGGGAGGGCATTCCATAAATGGGGAACCACCACTGAGAAGTCCCTGTCACACCGTGTCATAGGCCAATGCTAACTGGGCAGCAGCCAGAAGTGGCACCATCAACAGGGCCTCCCGGGCCAATCATATGGCTCAAAATGGTTGATTAGGCAATAATAATAATTATAATTTATTATTTATACCCCGCCTATCTGGCTGGGCTTCCCCAGTCACTCTGGCCAGCTCCCAACCGAATATTAAAAACACAATACAGCATTAAACATTAAAAACTTCCCTAAACAGGGCTGCCTTCATATGTTTTTTAAATGTAAGGTAGTTGCTTATTGCCTTGACATCTGATGGGAGGGCGTTTCACAGGGCAGGCGCCACTACCAAGAAGGCCCTCTGCCTGGTTCCGTGTAACCTCACTTCTTGCAATGAGGGAACCGCCAGAAGGCCCTCGGCGCTGGACCTCAGTGTCTGGGCTGAACAATGGGGGTGGAGACGCTCCTTCAGGTATACAGGACTGAGGCTGTTTGGGGCTTTAAAGGTCAGCACCAACACTTTGAATTGTGCTCAGAAATGTACTGGGAGCCAATGCAGATCTCACAGGACCGGTGTTATATGATCTCGGCGGCCATTCCCAGTCACCAGTTTAGCTGCTGCATTCTGGATTAATTGCAGTTTCCGAGTCACCTTCAAAGGTAGCCCCACATAGAGCGCACTGCAGTAGTCCAAGCAGGAGATAACAAGAACTGGCAAGACAGTCTACAGGCAGGTAGGGTCTCAGCTTGCATACCAGATGAAGCTGGTAGACAGCTGCCCTGGACACAGAATTAACCTGTGACTCCTTGGACAGCTGTAAGTCCAAAATGACTCCCAGGCTGCGCACCTGGTCCTTCAGGGGCACAGTTACCCCATAATAATGGTTGGCTGCACTGATCTTCCCAACAGGCTGCTTTCGACTCACCCATCAAAGCAATGGGCAGCTGTCACCACCCACTGAGATGAGATCAGGCTTCCACCGCACACATGTACCCTGTTCCTTCGGATGCTGACGGTCCATGGCCATTCCCCTTCATCAGCTTCCTGCCACCCAGTTAAACGAGTGGTGTGCTTCACTTCAGGCTGGCCGCAGGCTGCAGAGAGGAACCAGGAGCAGTCAGAGGGGCAGGGAGCAAAGCTAAGATTGATGAGCACCTGCCCCTTGTAGCTATGGACTCACATATCTTCCTCACCTGGTTGAGCAGAATTTTTATTGGTACCTGCAAAAGGAAAGGAGGCAGGAGTCAAGAAAGCAGGGTGGGAAATTGTGAGCATTAAGGTGGAGCAGTGGTGGCTGGTCCCCATTGGGACTGATAGGGTGGGAGGCAAAGAGGCCAACAGTAGGTGGTGCCAGAGCTGGCAGAGCCAACTAATTTTCATTTTGCCCCCATCCTCCTCCCTACTGAATTCTACAAGGGGCAACACCAAGACTAAAGAGGAGAAAGCTGCCAGTTAGTGCTACCTTCAGGACTAGAAGCAAGGAAGGAGAATGAGACTTTGTGCTGACCACCAGGCAAGGGCTTTTTCCACCAGGCAAGGGCTTTTTCCACCTGCAGGGGGCAGGGGGAGAGCCAGTGTGGTGTAGTGGTTAAGACTCATAATCTGGGGGACTAGGTTCGCGTCTCCGCTCCTCCACATGCAGCTGCTGGGTGACTTTGGGCCAGTCACACTTCTCTGATGTCTCTCAGCCCCACTCACCTCACAGAGTGTTTGTTGTGGGGGAGGAAGGGAAAGGAGAATGTTAGCCGCTTTGAGACTCCTTAGGGTAGTGATAAAGCGGGATATCAAATCCAAACTCTTCTTCTTCTTCTTCCCTGGAAAAGACCCTGATGTTGGGTAAGATTGAGGGCACAAGGAGAAGGGGACGACAGAGGATGGGATGGTTGGACAGTGTTATAGAAGCAACCAACATGAATTTGACGAAACTCCAGGAGGCAGTGGAAGACAGGAGTGCCTGGCATGCTCTGCTCCATGAGGTCACAAAGAGTCAGACATGACTAATCGACTAAACAACAACATTATGTTATTGATATTTATTGTTTATAAGCCACTTTGTGACTCGTGTGAATGAAAAGTGGCATAGGAAGGAAGGAAGGAAGGAAGGAAGGAAGGAAGAAGGAAGGAGGCAGGCAGGCAGCTGGGGTTTGCCTGAGGGTAGACTGATGTGATGGATAGCCCACAGGAACGCCAAGCTGGTCTATGGTGAAGTGTGGCCATGTCAAGAGCATGACAGAGCAAGCCACTAAAAAGCCACCAATGGCCAAAAGGAGATACCTTGGGAAGCTTCTAACACAGCAATGAATCTGCCTCTGGAGTGTTGATAATAAACATCTTCTGAGTTCGGTAGCACAGAAATAGGTGCACGGAGGAAATCCAAACCTCCCAAAAGTCGTTGAAAGGCAGACCATGTTTTGGTCCAGCTAAGACTTAGCCACAAGTCTGATCATACAGTAGCAGAAAACAGAATTCAAGTCCTCCCACGTTCCAGACTCTGGGCTCCAAATACACAAAGACATCTCTTTTCAATCACACATTAGAGTTGCCAACCAGATTCTGGCAGGGTCCCAGTGCATTTGATTTCTGCTTGCAAGGGGTCAACAAGTGAAATCTTCCCCAATATTGCATCTCCAAAAGAAAAGCAACCCATTTGAATGTTTGCATAAGATGCAGTGTGTCTGGCAAGGGCAAAAAGTGTTCCCAGAGCAAAGGATATAGTTTATGTATTTGGGGCCCTGGATCTCATTTCTCAAGGCCCCTTAATTCCCACCAAACTTTCACCCCATCTACTAACACAACTGCTTTAACAGCTAGAGTCCGCACCTAGGAATCTGCATATCCCCTGGCTTCTAGGGTCTCTTGCTATGACCCACTGTCCTCTCAGTTAAAGTATCCTTTCCCTTTTGCTTCTTCCACTTTGTATCCCAACCCCAATTCCTCTCCCCCCCCCCCAAGAGAATCCAGGAGTCCTGGATCATTCCTTCCCCAAAACGAGCAAAATTGGCAGCTCAGATGGGACACAGAATGGCTGCCATGCGTGGAGGGAAAGAGAACAGGGGTAGTTCTCACATTCCCAGGGGACCACACAGACAAATATACACCACTCCTGATGCCTCACCTCTCAGCAACAGGAGGAGGAGCACAATCTGGGAAGAGCAGAAACTCAGCATAGTCCGGGCAGCCATGGATCATCCAACTCTGATGCCAACCAGAGAAGAGACTGCTGGGCTTGGCTGCTTAGTCCAAGCAACCTTGCAGGGTCAGTGCACCAGGGAAAGGGCACAACCCAAGAGCTGGTGGTTATTGTCCTGGTGGAGTCTGCTTAGCTGTTCTTTCAACATCTACCACTCCATTCACGATATTTATTTGCAGAAATTTCTACACCAATAATGAGAAAAAGGATAATGTTGGTGAACAGCATAAAACAAACAATAAAATATGACAGTAATAATACTGACCTATCTCATAGGTTGGGGGGGTAGGAGAAATAAGGTAATATAGAATTTGGGGAAATAATATAAAAATTGGAGGACTGATACAATACAGAATTTGGGGGATGGCTTCTGATCACAGGTTGTGGTCTGCCCTGCCCTCTATTTAAGCCAGCAAAGCACAGCCGCTGTGCTACAAAACCCAACAGGTAAATGATCTTCGGCTCTGCCCGCAGTAGCAATCAGTGTAAACTCAAACACCATCCCATCTCCTCCCAGCCTTTATCCACCCCTAAAGTTGTCAAGGCCCCCAGCACCCCAAGGCCTGAAGGGCAAGGGGTGGGGCTTGTAGTGTCATGATGAGGCAGAGCCACGTGATGTCAAAAAGTTGTAAACCCCTGAAAGTCAAAACTCTGCTATAAGGTAACAGCAGCAGGCAACGGGGTAGATGAATGTCATTTCAGCTTTTCCCAGTCATTACACATTCCCTCCTCAAAAATGAACATTTCTCCTAATATTTGTATAGTTGTGCACAATTGTTCCTAGTAGAGGCATGTTTTGCAAGCAAAACCTCCTTAACAGAATGCATTTTTGTACATTATTTTCACTAATACACACATTTTTGGATGCACATTCTTTTGAAGAGCTGCATCTGACTATTCAGGCAAGTGCAATTTTCAAAGGAGACAGCTGTGTTCCTATTCACATATTGGTTCAGAAACTTCAATTCATTCATTTTTAACCTATCCTTGCTACAGATTGCTGTTGAAACTCTTATTCCCATTCCAAGATAAAGAACAGCAACTGACACACACGGGATATGAGGGAACCTTATGCCAGTTCCTTTTGGAGGGTTTACCACTGCTACTGACCCACTCATGGGGGCTATGAGGTCAATTTAGTACAGTGGTACGTCGGGTTAAGTACTTAATTCGTTCTGGAGGTCCGTTCTTAACCTGAAACTGTTCTTAACCTGAAGCACCACAGGTCTCCTCCACAAGCAGTAATGAATGAGTAAAGGATTGGTGCAAAGAGAAGAGCCTCTTTTCTCCAGCCAGCATCCAAACTGTCAGTTGGCTGCCGTTATGAGTGAGCTATGGACTCTATAGACTATAGAGTCCATGAAACGCAATGCTACAAAATGGTGGTCCTTCCAAGAAGTGTGGGGGGGGGAGTCCTTCTCAAGATGGCAGCAGCCTCAGTCCACAGTTACATAACGATCTTGCGCTTGAACACCTCATCCCAGTGGTCGCTGAGCAGCCTCCCTTGGCTCGGGGATGCGGAAACGACCTTCCTAAGATGGCTCCCGGCGATCGCCGTTTCTATCCTTCCTTGTAAGGCTTGCTGTCAAGGCTTAAACAGGGTTAAAACACCAGAGATAAGGATTAAATGCTTCCCCGGAGACCAGAGAGACGCAGGAGCCTTGACAGACGGGTAGCATGACGGCAACCTTTGACCTCCCCCAAACTGGCGGAAGCAAGCCCCCCGCATAAAAAGCCTCATAAAGTGGGGCTTGGGAAGAGAAGAATTATGTGCGAGGAGACCTTCTCAGCATGGCTGCGTTTAAGCGCGCCCTTCGCAAGATGGCGGCGATTCCTCTCATAACCCGCCTGCCTTCCTCGCCCCGCCCGCACCACCACCACTCTCCGCTCTCTCTTTTATCTCTATGGTTCCTTCTCGAGCGTCCCTTTGACTTTGTTGTCTATGGTCTTCCGCACCCAATCGAAAGCCGCCGAGCGCTCCCGAAACGCATGCGCCGCTCCGCTCCTTCCGTCAAACCCGGCTGGGCCGTCCCGAGGTTGCGGTGCATGTTGGGATACTGGGGGTTCTGCTGCTTTTTCCTCTCTGGGGGGTCTGGGCTGAGGTTGCGGCTGCAGAGATGGTGAGTAGGGGAGGGGGAGCAGGAGAGGAGGGAGGGGGGGACCGTCGGCAATAATAACAATAGTGCTGGTAGTAATAATAGTAGCAGGCGTAGGGATACTCTCCCTCCCACTTCCTCCGCCGGCCCCCGCCCCTCCGCCGGCCCCCTTCACCTTTTTCTACACCCCCCATACCCCAGATTTAAGTATCTCCCTCCCAACCCCCAGCGCCTCCCCTGTGGCTCCCCCCACCTCGCCCCATCTTCTTCATATATTCATTTCTTTTTGCCCTCTTACCCTCCTATCCCCCTGTTCTCTGCCTCCCCCTCACCCCCTACCATCGTATTTCGTGGCAACCATCCCTTCCCCTTTTTGGGTGGCAACCCTTTCCAGCCCCCCTCAGTTTCCCTTGTCAAAACGGGAGAAGGTCCCTCCGCGTCTCGTCCTCTTCTTCCCTTTCCTGTTTCCCTCTCTGCCCAGCATTGGGTGTGTGCGCTCCCTTGTTGTTGTTCACACTAATAATAGCGTCCAGGCGGTGGTTTTTTTATCCTTCCCTTCCCCCATGGAGCCCAGGGACCGTGTTTGTGGTTCTGCTCCGGCCCCCGAAATTTAATGCTTACAACAGCCCTGTGTGGTAGGTTGGGCTGGGAAGAGATGATTGGCGCACGGTCGAGCAGGAAGTTTCAGAGTCCCCACCCCTTTTTTTTCTGGGATAATCTGAACTCTAGCCCCACTCTAGAATGCACCCATGACACCCAATGACCTGGTTATAGTCCTTTCTGTCTTTCTGCAAAGCATGCCTCATTTCTACTGTCACCCACCCACCAACATCTATCCCGTGTTGGCAATTCTGGCATGCCACAAATGCACGTTAACACACACAGACTATGGTTGTGTTGTGTTGTGGAGCATCACTACCAAATAGGGAAGAGGATGAGATTCCTATGTTAGGTGGCCTCTTATCTAAGATTTCTACCCACTCCCTAGTAAGGTTAAATGAGCTGTTTAACGCTTCTGAAGCAAGGCTGTCCGTGCTGCTTTATGTTTACAAAAAAGCCAATAAGAAGTTGAGGGGAGTGGGAAATGCATTCAATGATATTTCAGGATTACAGGAGTGGCAAGGAAAGGTTGAAAAGCCTGAGTGCTCTTAGTCTGTGGAGCAGGGTGCGGGGATAATACCTTTCAATATAAGAGGTTGCTTGAAGCAGGATGCCAACCTACAGCCACTGAGAGTTGGGTGAGAGAAAGCTGTATTTGTTCTATTATTGTTTTTGTTGTTATTTTACTCCATCCTTCCTTGGGCTTCAAGGGGTGGGGTGGACTTGGGTCTCATCCTGTCCTATGGTGGTTCAAGACACCAATCTTTTCTTGTTTCCTAATTAAACTTGAGAGAAGGGGGAAGTGTTTGAAGGTGGCTTCTGTGTCTGAAAATGCAGGAGACAATTGCTCTAAGGAGCTGAGGGAAGCATACACAGTCATTCTCACCCCACCCCACGCAATGTTATCGTCAAAACCACCCTGTGAGATATGGTAGACTAAAGGAAAGTGACTAGCCTAAGATCACCCAGTCAGCAGGGGTGTCATACAGATTTTCTTACTCCGGGAGATGTAACCAGCAAAGGATTGGTTTGTGTAGAATGGGTTGATTAAGCATCAGATAAGAGAGGCTTCCTTTCATGGTGAAGGAGAAGCTAAATGGCCTTTCAGGGTCCCTCAAATTCTTAATGGAAAGGTATCCAAGACAGTCCTAAGATTTTCAACAGAGGAGAAAAGACTTTGGATTACACCTCAAAGACAATGAGCTGGAAAATGATGCCCACACATGTGAGAACAAAGGCTAATGTGGATACTTGAAATTATGTATCTGCATTATATGCAGTGTCAAAACTGCTGCACTACCTATTGTGGGGTATTATTGTTTTAGAATTTGTCAGCCCTAAAGAGGAAAGATGTTGAGTCTCCCCCTGAAACAAGATCCAGTGAACAGATTTAGAAATCAAAATACTGGGCCGATGGGGAGGAAACAGTCTGCATTTGGAGATCTTTATCACTGTTGTTACCGTATTTCAGTGCATGAACATCTGACCTTGCAATAATGAGAGAAGTTGGGGTTCTTTCAGTTCCAACATGAATGGAGACTGTTCCATAGTTTAACTTCTTAAAGGATATTTATTTATTTATTTATTTATTTATTTATTTTATTTATGAATTGTTTCCTATTAAACATCTGAAAGTGATTTAAATAAAATACAATAAAAAACATATTAAACCATTGCATATGTAAAAACTATCCCATTAGAATAAAAAAACCTTCACTTAGAAGGCTTGTTGAGAGAAGTAAGTCTTCCACAGGTGCTGAAAAGCCAATATAAACACCACATGATGTGCAGCAGTTGCTGTCCATTGAGCACTTTGACTTGCATACCTGCAAAATGCTGGTTAGTACCATGAGAACATGGTATTAACCTTGTTTACCCAAATTCAAAAGAAATAAGTTACACCTGGATGCTGTCATTGTGCCTGGGGCATGTTGTACCTTGTGCCAAAAGAATTTTCAAGACTAGTCTACACATGCAGCAGAATGAGTTGGTTGGATACTGAGGTGGTACAGTAGACTTTACCACATCAGGATGCAGGTGGGACACCACACTTTGGACTGCTCCTCCATGTAAAAATCCCCTGCAAGCAGAAAACTAGAACACTAGAAAGGTTCTAGGCTAGTTGCTGATGTGCTAGTTCTCTAACAAAAGTGGAGTTGTTGTTTTTTGTTTTTAAGCTTTGGGGAGGATTTTGAAAATGTTGCTTTTTTCCCACCTACAGTCTGAAGTGGTTCAGTGCCTTCCACCAACTTGTACAGCTTTCAGGGTTGGTTCAAACAACTGTGAAGGAGAAGATTTCATTGCATGCAAAAAAAATCCTGGGTTGGTGTCTCCAGTTGAAAGGATTAGGGAGATGGTGGTGGGAAAAACTGAAGCCATAGAAAGCCAGTGACAATCGGAGCTGAGCTATTTGGTCACATAGTCAGACATAGTATAATGCAGGTTTCTATGAGTTGCTCCAACCTGCAAATAGCCACTCACATGGACACTTGTGAAAGGTCATAACTGCCTTTATGGAAGTGAGTAGGAACGCTCTTGAGAACTTAGAGGTTCTCTCTCTTCTTTCTTTCTAAAGTTATAAATGGCTTCCATGGCTCAAGCTCCTGAAAAGGTGTTGTGCATCAGTGAATACTTGCTCACCATCCATTGCCACTTTTCCATTTGACAGGACGTCTTTTTAATGATCCGACGTCACAAGACGACCATCTTCACAGACGCCAAGGAGTCCAGTACGGTGTATGAGCTGAAAAGAATTGTTGAGGGGATACTTAAGAGACCCCCAGAAGAACAAAGGCTATACAAGGTAACGAGGGGGGTGCTTTTTCTCACTGCAGAGCATACCCCAATATCCCCTCCCTGTGGATTGCAGCTATTATAATAACGGCTGGTCTGGTCAACTTTTATATACAGTGTGGGTGGAGAGAGAGATAACGTCCTTTTCCTAGGGGGGCAAAATTATCTCGGGGCCAACCCTGGGCAGCGGTGATGCCCCTGGGATTTCCCCTCGTCCTTAGTCCCTGTCCTCTCAGGGTAATGCCACTGCCCACAAATGGAGTGGAGCAGAGCTCAAGGCTGTGGGGGGCCTCCCCATCGTGAAAAGCATAGGGTTGCGGATTTACCAAACACGTTGGCTTAATTTTTCACTCCGCTCCCCTCACAGCCTGCTGGAATGCCCCAGAACAAGTCTTGAAATATCAGCTCTACCCTTCAGTCCTACTGTTGCTCATTAAACACCCATCCCCATCACTCCCCCCCAGGATGCATGCTGTTGTGACAATGGCGTGTTCCTTTGCATGCTCCAATCTGCTGGTGTTATGGGGCCACGTTGCGGCCTGTCCTCACAGAGGCAATCTCTGCTGTTCTTTACCTACCCCACTGCAGCAGAAGTTGTGTTGTGCTACCAGGTTAGTTTTTTGGGTTTTTTTGTGCGTTGCTAAGATTTAATTTGTTGTGTAATTGCCACTTCACCCTCCAGGATGACCAACTGTTGGATGACAGCAAAACCCTCGGAGACTGTGGCTTCACCAGCCAGACAGCACGACCTCAGGCCCCAGCAACAGTTGGCTTGGCCTTCAGAGCCAGTGGTGAGTTGGGGTCTCTTGCTTTCTAGATTTGGGAAGGGGAAGGAATAAAATTTATTTGTTCCATGCATCTGTTGTCTGCCCTACAATTTGGGTACTTTTAGGCTGACTACCCATTAAATCACCTGTTGCCATTCACTTTGGTGGAAATTATCAGGGCACCCGTTGCCTTGTGCAGGAATGAGTCGGTGGGAAGAATCTGGGTGCTGCCGGATCCTTGGCTTTTTCTCATGACCCTTTTTGACAAGGCGAATAGTGTGTAGCTGCTGCTTTGGGGCAGAAAGCGGTCTTGCAGTGCAAAGGAATATGGGGGAAGCCGATAGAATCATAGAGTTGGAAGAGACCACAAGGGCCATCGAGTCCAACCCCCTGCCAAACAGGAAACACCATCAGAGCACTCCTGACATATGGTTGTCAAGCCTCTGCTTAAAGACCTCCAAAGAAGGAGACTCCACCACACTCCTTGGCAGCAAATTCCACTGTCGAACAGCTCTTACTGTCAGGAAGTTCTTCCTAATGTTTAGGTGGAATCTTCTTTCTTGTAGTTTGGATCCATTGCTCCGTGTCCGCTTCTCTGGAGCAGCAGAAAAGAACCTTTCTC